TGTGGCTAACTCCGTTTTACAAAACGCACAGAACCCATAAGCTCTGAATCTGATTTAAGGTATTGAAGAAAACACGCTGCAACGAACAAAGCCCTCTACTCGCAGACCTCTATTTACATGTGGACTACACAAACGACACAACAAAGCAACAAATTTCTGTGCTCCATGCACCTATTTGCATGGTGGTATCCACACATGATCTGCTGGTCTAGTGGTGTCCACACAGGCGCAACAAACGACAAGTGAATCAACAAGCAGCAAGTGACGCTGCCGCTTGGAGTTACGATGTGCAAGAAACACGTTTGGATCCTCATGGTAGCTTGAAGACCAATTTCTTCGGTTGTCCGCCCTGCGTGAACAGCAGCATCCAACAGCGTCACTCTGGCAGAGTGAGCCGTGAGCTTATTGATTTGAGCTGCCGCCTCTCGCAACGCTTTGGGTGACAGTTGCCGATCGGGCGCAAACCGTTCGAAGGCCGAGCGCGCAATGACTTTCAGCCACTGCACAGACCGAGCATGGTCTGGTGGGGTGTTCCTGAACTCTTCTCGGGAATTCAGGTCAGGGATCCAAAAATCACGATCGTGCGACTCTGCTTCGAAGAGTTCCCAACCGATCGCTAACCATTCGACCCCCGAAAACCCGACGGCCGGAACGACAAATTTCGTGCCCCTTCGTTTGCGTTCTACCTTCGTTTGCCAACAAACACCGAACAGGCCATCATCAAGGAATTGGAGGTCTTTGGGGGCAACGTGGATCCCGTCATCAAACCGAAGGGACGCAAAAATAAGGCATAACCACCACCAAATAAACAGCCGAGCGGGTGTCGGACCGTCGAGCGCGGCAACAAAAAGCTCCATACTGCGCACTACTTCCAGAGGCACCGGAACCGCCTCTTTCAGAGCGGTCGCTCGCTTTGCGACGACCTCCTTCTGCAGCGCCAGCAAAGACGCATCGTCCAGATCTGGACAGTCCACTGCCAAACGTGAGCAGACCCACCTGATGGACGAACGTGCCGAGGGGATGACGGTCGGTCCGCACTCTAGCTGATCAAGGTAAAGGCAGTACTTGAGGACTTTGTCGATCGAGAGGGGGAAGAGGTCCACACCCGCCCACGAGGCCCAGAGCTCGAACCGTTCCCACGTGCGAACATGCGATGACATGGTTCTGTGGGCCCCCGATGTGAGGACCAGGTGCCGGAGCCTAGCTGCTTCCGTTTCTGTCAGATCTGTGTCATTCTCTCGAGCTGTGAACAGCTTCGCCCACTGGCCTGCCCTGCGCCCAATGGCCTCGAGACGAGCGGCCCACTTGTGTCGCTCGCCTTGCTCCAGATCCAGCAGCGGGGTCGAGCTGGAGGAAGCCTCTGGATCCAGCTTCAGGCGCTTGGGCCCTCTCAGGGCTTCTGCACGAGCGCTTGGATAGCGGCTTTCTTCCTGAGCCCGTCCGCCGCTGAGAGAGCTCTATGGGCTCGGGCTGGCCCACACAATCCAAAGCCGAGCTGAATAGTGGTGGACTCAAAGAAGAGCTTCTCGACTGACTTGGCCAGCCCCCAAAATTGATCCAACATAGCCGGTTCCGTGAGCAGGACTCTGACTACCGTCGGATCCATAGCAGGGGCCCAATCCGAAACTTTCTGAACGAACTCGGAACCTGAACTGACCTCCATCGATGTGATCAGGGCCAAGTTGGCCAGTTGGGAGCTCGCTAAAGCATCTGCGAACGCTTTTGAAAAGATCGGAAGGGACAGAACCTTGGTGACCCACCTATCTGTGCCCTGAGCCATGATTGAGCCCAGAGCTATTGAACCGAACAGGTTAAATGGGATCTCCGTTGACCAACCCTCCCCCCCTTCGAGCCGGCGCGACTCGAGCTAGCTCAGAAGCCAGCGGCCTCAGAGCCCCAATGCTCAAGCCTCCCGCCGTGCCACGAGGGACTTGAAGGGTTCGCGTTGAGGAGCCTCAGCCGCCAAGCTCGATCGAGCATGGGCTGAATTCCCCAACAACGCAGCTCATGCGCCACGAACGTGCTGTTTGTGAACACTCAAGATTTCCTGAATGAAACATCAAACACGAACACACGAGCGGTCCAAAACGACATGTCCATATATGTGTGTCTAGAGATCCATTCCAATGTTTGAACAAACTCTGAAAGAAAGCAAGCACAGCTCAAGTTGAACAACCTGTGAACCTCCAGCCTCAAACCACATCGATCGACTGAAGCTGAAAAAGTTCACGACAGCTGAACAGCTTACTTTAGTTAGCTTGAAGCTAGTAGGACTACAGAACGCTGGTTAGAGTGGACCCTCAACCTAACTCATGCCCCAGGCTAGAGCAAGGCTCGGGTGCACGTCAGACCACGCGCTCTGAGCTCCCGAGACCCACCGATCTGCGGCATGAGCCTCGCGTTACGCGCTTTGAGACACGATCGGTCATTAGGGGCCCTTCACATGGTCTGATCAACTTGACAAAGACGTGTCATGAACAGACCTGGAAAAACCTAGAGCCTTGACTGGTCAAGAAAGAAAAGAGCAGCTGCGTGTCTTCTCTCTCGTGCCACAGGTCGCCGATCGACCGCCCTTGCGCAGCCGTACGACGAAAGGCCGGATCGGACACCCCCGATCGATTTCATAAAGCGGCTTGAGCTGTTTAAACATCAACCGAATCATCAGGCTGATCAGCTCGAGGCCCAAAAACAGTCGGGACCCCACTCTCTGCCTCCTCCGGTGTGATCGTCACCGTTGAGGGTCGTTCGACTCTCGGAGTGGCTGGACGGAGCCCCGACATCACTGCTCGAGCTTGGCCCACAAAAGCCATGGGTGTGACGGCTGCATCAGCGATCGTCTCACTGCGCCTCTGCTCCAAAGGCCTCCTCGGAGCGAACACCACAGGAGCTGAGCTTGCCGAGCTGGCCGCCTGACCCGGTGGAGTAAGCGAAACATGCCCACCCCGGATGTCACCTGCTACCCCACTCGGAGCCGAGCGTGGGCCAGCCAGATCCCTCACTGCCTCCTCCCACTTCTGCTGAGCAGACGCGATGGCCGGTGTGCCCATGGTAGGAGGCAAAATCATGGCAGCCCGCTCTGTTGCCGGATCGTGGTACTGCAAGGCGATCGACTCCTTAGGCACCACCTTCTTCTCCGAGCGAAACAGCGGGGACTCACACGTGAGGTGCAAGTTGTCCGCGTGCGAGCTCACGTCAACGGCCCCGATCCTTGGTCCAGTCTGCTCGATCGACTCAGCCACGACCTCTGCGGTCCAATGAGCATGGATTCCCGCAATCTGGGATAGCTGCATGACCTGATCAGGTCCTTCCACCCGGGCGAAATGCTCACGACACCATCGAGCGTCCTTCACCAGGGTGGGCCCAGACACCCTGGAAACCACAAGCCAGGTGGCCGGCACTGAGAGCGTTTCACAGGCCACGTCCAGGCGGTCCTGAGCAGAATTGAACCTGAACTCCAATCTATCTGCGTCCAGGCCGAGCGAGTCTGCCGAGGACACAGACGTGAGCCGCACCTCAAAGTGGCACAGCGGGAAGTCTAAGGCCAGAACTGCGCCTCCTTCACCACAAGCGTAGAGCTGCCCCCCGACCTCGTAGGAGACGGCGCAGACGCGCCAGCCCTGGAAGACCACCACTGTGCAGGAGGGTATGAACAACACCTCCTCCAACCCCATGACGAGCGCGTCGTTGATGTAGTTCACTTGAACCGTCATATCACGATCCGAGCGATAACCACGCATCTCGAGATGGAGGAGGAGCGCTCCTTCCACCTTCAATTTCAGGTCAACCCAGGTCGCAGAGTCATCCCTCATCAAAGGCCACCTGAACGGCTGAAAAGCCTTGTGGGACATGACATCCCCAGTGTGGGAGTCCCACTTCCCACATGGCACGGAGCCGTATGAGGTCATCGACCCAACAATGATCAACTTCTTGCCCTCGAGGGTGCGCATATAGAACAGGTTCATGTGGTAACCTGTGCTTGGGCTCCTGACTTGACGAGCGTCAGACAAAACGTTGACACCAGCCTGGGCATTGACCAAAATCTCATCCAGGAGCCAGCCCTGAAAAGGGCTTGAGATCCTTTGATCTCTGGAGTCCACGACGAGGATAGATCTCTCCCCGTCGGCTGCACCCACTTGCCTGAGATAGGGAGGCAAGGCCGCACTGAGTGCGTTGTGGAGCCCACCCATCTGACCAAACCTCAAGGCCCGAGCACCTTTCCGAGCGGCTCGCTCCGCCTGCTTGCGCAGTTTTCTGGAGCCATACTGTGGGTTGGTTCCTGCAAGAAAATTCTGAGCAGCTTGCGTTGCGGGAGCCACATTGGGAGCTGTCGGCACTGAGGCAGGCGCAGGCTGAGCACTCTGCTGCTGGCCTCCCTGAGCAGGTACCTGGGTCTGAGCAGACTCCTGCATGTTCGGCACGTCTGGAGTTGGCTCAGGAGCCTGAGCCTCAGCAGGATCCTTTGTGGCCTCAACAGGAGGCACTTTGGCTTGAGCCTCTGTCTGCGGGGCTTTCACTTGAGAACTAGCTGATGACTGACCAGTCTTCACTTTGTTGTCCAGATCAATTACGTGAGGAAGCTCTAGGTCAGCTGGTGGAAGATCATCCTCATCGTCCGGTGTTTGCACCATGTTCCAGCTAGATGCGCTCACATTGCTGATCGAATCTTCTGGCCTGATCAGCCTGTTGACTGCGAGCGCTTGCTGCCGGAGAAAAGGCGGCAGGTGTCCACCACTTGACATGGCTGCGGATAGATCTATGAACACCTGAAGTGATCACCCCAGGCCCCCTCGGTCAGAACTCCCCACGAGCTCAAACACAACAAACAGGGACCCAAAAATTTTAGGGGTGATCACCTTCTAGCCAAAATGGCATACGATCATGGTGAATCACTGAACAATTGTTAGAGAAGTTGGCTGAACAGCTGCCCTGAGTAACCCCCTTGTTCCAGACCAACCTATCCGTTAACAAGTGACCTGTCGCTGCACTCTGGCCCAAGTGGCCAGTGATCACATTGAGCAACGCTAGAATACAAAAGGCCATGAAGACAATGAACAGGAGTCCAAACCTCAGCGAGTATGGCTTGGTCTATTCATTATTCAGTATTCTATTCATTCTTGTTCCTGAAGTAGCTGAGACGTTAAATATCGACTGCCTCAAGTGAGTGCCCGCGACAGCACGGCACTTCTCAAAATGCTTTTCCGATTCCAAAATTTGGAAAGACAATATAGACTGCCTGGTTTCAAACAACCAGCTCAAACCCAAAACGCATGGTGACTGTGCACCCTTTCCAAAAGAAAGACTGCAGCTTTGTGGGCGTTCTTCAGGCTTGTCCCAAATGGTTCAGGAATCACCGGTCACAGCCCGTCACAGCGGTCACCAAGATGCCAGGGGCTGATCCCATCGATCAGCGGGTCAGCGATCGCATGCCAGTCGACACCACCGGTCACCCCCTGGCAGTCGAGAGGGGTCTTGCGAATCTGGCAGATCGGGTGTCAAATCCATCGGAGGTTGCAGAATCATGATAGGGGCCTTGTGCTTGTCACTGGCTGTGCAGCCTTGAAGGACTGGCATCAAACTCTCTCAAAACACGGATGTCTGCACAAAGCTTCAACAATAGTTGCACCGGACTGTGGTCACGGTGTCCAACGACATTGCCGGTCCGCGCCCTTCATGAACAAAGAGTCTCTAGAATGTCAGCCGACGGCGCAATCTTAGGTCAATCTATCATGACAAATCTGCCGTGACGATCCTTTTCTCCTGAGAAAGGACTTTGCATACGTGGTCAAGCACACCAACAGAGCAAGTGAGACTCCGCTCGACTGCGGTGAGTCAAGTTTTCATATCATATGCCAAACAAACAAGGTTTACTTTGTTTCAATCCCATATGTCGAACCCCCTGCAGGGCGCATGAAGCAATGACATGAGCATCAAACCCAACCTGGAAGAGCGATAGGACACTCTGCGGCATGGAGCCCCACCACTTCAGCATCAGCGCTTTCTGGTGCAAACGAGATGGGGAAGATCTGGGAGAGAACCCAAAAAAGAACATCTGAAGGATGAAGAGAAAAGAGGTGGGGTGGCAAAGAACACAATTCTCTTACCAACTGCAGGCCATGGCCGGCAACATCACCCCTAGCTGTAGCTGAATCACCAGTTCCAACCAGCTTCGATGCTTGCCCAGTCTTGTGCCATGAGGTTGATATAGACAAAGCTACTAGTAGCTTCTTGTTACGAGTAGCGATGCCCTTTGCTCCTAGTAGCGATGCCGTTTGCTCATAGTAGCGATGCCCGTCGCTCCTAGTAGTGATGCCCTTTGTTACTAGTAGCTTCTTGTCACTGGTCTGTCATTCACTTCCCTTCAAAGATCATGATCCAGCTGCATCACAGTGGAACCTTTATCGACTTCTCAGTTGAGGAGTCCTGCATTGAGAAACAAAATGATGTTCAGTTCAAGCACAATGAGTACGAAACTCAGCGAAACACACAAAAGTGTGCTTCACACGGAAGGTTTTAAGGGGCCCACTCCACCACAAGACCAAATCCTTCCCCCATTCCCATTCCCGGAACCAACACCTGCGAGGCAACATCAACGGAACAAGGTATCTGCGCCCCATCATCGTTCTGCTCCAAGCGATAGGTTGTAGCAGCCTGGCAAGTCCACAAAGACTCTTCTGACACCAAAAATGTCCAACGCCAGATTCCGGCTCTATTGCAAAGCATGTATGAGAGGCTTGTAAAGCATGCCCTCTTTTCTTAAGCCTGTGACAGGCCGAATCCTGATAATGGTACGCCATTGCAACCCCTCAAAAATCCGCGGGTTTGAGGGCTCTATGTTCTTGAGACAACTGTGGAGAGCTTGAGTCCAAGCAAATCGCCCGCCTGGCAAATGTAGATGGCCACCACGTATATGGCCAAAAGGAGCAGGAGGGCAGACCATAAAAACTGTTTCAAAGAGCGAAACAAGCAGTTGATCAGCAGCCTTAGAGCACTCTCTTGGAGACCCAAACACTCAACTGGGGGAGATGGCTCCGAAGTTTCCACGACCTCATGAACTGGAGGGCCTACTAGCACTAAACCTGCGACGTGAAAGATGGCACATCGGAAAAAAAAAGAAAGAAACAGGTAGGCTACGGCTAGGGTTGTCAGATTGCACACGGGCGACTCTAGAGTGCACAAGCTGCAAACAGTCATAACACCACAACCCCTCTAAGAAAAAGGCAAGGAAAGGCAAGAGCCATGGCCACAACCTCAACAACAACCTCAACAAGAGTCTTATGGGGTCTCTCAAGACTGGTCCCCAAGACTAGTTTCCATTTATGTGCCATCTATGTGCGCTAGCATAAGAACTACATGTCCTTCTCAGTGTGCCATGTTAGTGTATGACAGTGTATGAGAAACTACATGTACTTGTAGCCGTGTGCTATCTTTAGGTTCCAAATTCCACTCCCACTAACATGGCACATATTGGCCATGTTCTTTGTGCCATCTTAGTGGGACCCGGTATAGCTAGACCGCACTGAACAACCAAACACCACATAGGCCTTCAGAGAAGCATACAAAATCTTGCATCCCAACTTCCCTCTGCTGTCTAAGCAACTGCAGATCCTGTGTGAAGCGAACAGCTCCCACTAAGCGGACCACCTTGATGGCACGGAGGATTCGGATCACACGCATGATGTCCTGAGGCTGGATCTGAGCAAAGCTGTGAAATGCCCAAAAGGAGAGTCCGGTCCTTCCCTGGGTCTGGTTGTAAGCCTTGTTTACAAACACTCACACTTTCGGGTCCTTCATCCAACTTTGAACAAACCTCTTTCCTGAGGGGCACGATGAAAATTTCAAAAACACATGGTGAGAGTGAGAGATCAATACCACTTCCTGTGACGGTAAAAGTGTGAACCAATGTTCAAGCCCAAAAGCGACCAAAGGGGGGAACCGCAATGCTACAGCAAGAAAAAGCAGAAAGCGGGCTTTTTCAAGCGTGCGATCATCGATGAGCTGGACAGAGCGGCGAGTTGAAAGACATGTCACCAAGCTTCACACGAACAAACCTCAAGCTACCTTCCATGAATCGATGACATCAAGAAAAAGGGATGTTGGTGACAAAGTCTTCTTGGCCTTGAGCATGCGTGCCTTGCCGCGCTCCCTCTGGCCCCTTCTCAAGCCAGCCCTATACAGCTCCTTCTCTTGGTCCTCAAGAGTCTCTTTCAAACAAATAGTCCCCTTGGACTTGAATTCACGAAAAAGCTCATCTGGCATCCCTTGCGTGAGACTGTCGGCAAATTGGCGCCCCCACGTCGGCACCCAAGCTGCCAGCATCGAAGCCCTCTCAATGAGCTGCTTTGCAGCTAGGATGTCCAACATCGTTTGGCATTCCGCCGTCAGATGCCTTGTCTTCTGTCAATGGCCGAACAGGGCCTTGGCGTCTGTGGCGACCAGGCCGGGCACTTTCAAATCCTCCTTCCAAGAGGTTGTGATCTCTGGAGGACCACGCCAAAAGGCCTGCACCAGAAGACAAAGGTGCAGTTGCTCATCAGCCGCAGCGCTAAGCGAATTGCCCTCTGCCGCCAAGCTGGACTTCACCATTCGCACGATCTTGGAGCGCCTAAACTCGACCACATTGGCCACTGATGAAGACCGCTCCAACGGTCCAAAGCTCGTGCCGTTGACAAGAAATGAACTTGCCCTTGTTGAGCACAGAAGGCGTCGCTCTTGCCCAGGGAAGCGTCAAAGAAGGCGACGCAGTATGGGCAAAGTCTCGAACTCTTTCAGCAAGGTGTTGGCGTTACGAGCGTGCTCCACGCGAGCTCCCGACACTTGTTGCGCTAGCTGGCTCACAGCAAAAAACTTCTCAAGTAGCACGTACTGCGCTGGCCACCTGAGCTGCATCACCAAGCGGCGGAAGGAGGTCTTCTGGGTAGGAGTCCTTGTCCGTCTCCATGGGCTAAATCTTTTCAACGTACAGCTTCACGCAGTCTTTGAGCACCTTGTTCTATAAAGAAATCTTGCAACCAAGAAAATCAAAGGGCTCAGTCTTCCACTCTTTGATGTTGAACCGCTCGTTGACGCAAGCTCGTAGGTCTCGAAACACCGGACATGTAGGGTGTCCAGTCAGCAGACACTCATCCACGCGCAAAGTGCACACTGCTACAGTGACCTGGTTCTTCACCTGCGCAAACGTGGCACTGCATATGGCAGCTCAGACATTCCAACTTCTTCCAGTTGTTGAACTGCTCGAGAACGCCATGGCCTGGGTGCCTCTGCCAGACCGTAGGCTGACTTCAAGATGCGCAGCAAAGAGAAGAAAGGTGGAATCGGAGGTGACTGTGAAGTGCCAGGCAAACCATCGGCTGGGGCTTTCACATAAACTTCACGATCAGTTGGATTGCCAGACAAAAAGGCCGTGGCCACATCAAAAACATAGAGCTCCCGTCCACGACACATTGCCAGACTCTTCAGAAGACGAACTGCACAAGGATTGGTTGCGGGAGCATCAGCGCGATACTCTCCCAGGCCATGATCGGCATGACCTGGCGCCACAAGTCTCGACTTTGCCAGGATCTCCGATGCTGCGTTCAACTCTTTGTTCTTGTTGACTCTCACCCATCGCAGCGGGATCCTGAAGATCGTGTTCCGGGGGATGTTCCGAGCACGGTCTGGAGGAACCACCTCAAGGACTCGATTGCGAATCCATGAGAGCCATTCAGACTGGTCAGGCTCATCAAACTTCTTCTTCTCATAGCTGAAATGTTTCGAGTCCAGCTCTTTCCCACTGGCCTTCATCTTGAGGAGATAGATCTGACACGCCTGTTGAGCTGCTCGTTCACGACGCGCAAATGACTTCCATACATCGAGTCGTTCTGGTGGCCACGGGATCTTGAACATGCGATCCGCAGGCTGCACATGGGCACCTTCATCAGATGGTCTCTTTGAAGACTGGAGGTCCACAAACATAGTGATTCCTCTCCACAGGAATGGTGCCCTTTTTGTTGGGCGCCTGGACACTTCTGCTGTTTTTTCTCCCACCACCACAGCTTAACCTGGTTGTGGACCCAAAAGTGCACTGACCCGATCTCGAGGAAACTCATGAGGCGGCTTCTGAAACCTCTTTCGGGGAGCAATGCGCCATCGAGCAGCAGTCACAGGAAGATCAACAACTTCACGTAGGGTTGCCAGCTCTTTCCTGCTAAGCCATTCATTCGCCCGCTCCTTCTGAGCTCTTCGTCCTTTCAATTCATGCAGCTGCTGTTGCAACAAAGAGACCGACAGGGTGGCGTAGAACTCGTGATCTTGCCAAGGGTCACGCCAATCTCGAGAAAGGTCAGGCTCAGTTGCAGGACGTGAAGGTCGAAACTGGTTCCAAACGCCCTTCCAGCCTGATGTTCCCTTGCCCTTTCCCTTGTGTCTCGAAGAGTTGCCTTTCCCTTCTTGGGCTGACCACCACTCAACACAGGTGGAGAACATGTCGCGCATCGACTTGGAATCACCACCTTGTTCCGAACTAGCCTGACCCGATGAACTCTAACCCCATGGTAGATCTAGCTTCACCCACGAATCTTCCTTGTCCCTAGAGCTGGGCGCCTGCGGCGGCGGCTGCTCTGGAGGTGGAGGGAGCCCCTGCTGCTGCTGCCATGATCCATCCGCAGCAGTCGAAGACGGATCGGCCATGATCGAGGGAGCAAGCAGGCTATGGACAATCCCCACCAAGGGTCACCCAGCCCCTCAGGGCTCCGCTACCAATGTGGCGGTAAAAGTGTGAACCAATGTTCAACCCCAAGAGCGACCAAAAGGGGGAACCGCAATGCGAAAGCAAGCAAAAGCAGAAAGCGGGCTTTTTCAAGCGTGTGATTCGATGAGCTGGACAGAGCGGCGAGTTGAAAGACATGTCACCAAGCTTCACACGAACAAACCTCAAGCTACCTTCCATGAATCGATCACACTTCCGACAGTCCGACATCTGTTGGATGTAACCACCACTGGCATTCAACCATGGCTTCACTTGTGATTGGTCTAAATCAAATGTTTTTCATGCACTGGTACGAGTGTTCTGAAACCACTCAAATTAATGAACCAAACTTTGCAATCGAACTTGCCAGAGCTCCTTTTGGCACCCCACAACTTCCAAGTGTCTGGGTTTGTGTTCGATGACAACCTCCCTGCAGTGCCTGCAGATGCCTGGCCAAAAAGGTGAAAACATGAATGGCTCTTTGTCGCTGCTGCTTAAAATGGCTTTCATGCATTCCGGCTATGAACAAAGTTGGACAGCACAATAAGGCCTAGATTCATGTTCCGGTTTGCCAAATTTCCCATGTGCAAACGTGGGGCTTGAGCCTAAGCCTTTACATCAATATTATCTAAGCTGTTTGAGCTTTCAGCACATCCATTGGATAGGTAGCCCTTGACCAATGCGTACGCCCAACACCAAAGTCACTGGAGGTCACCTGCATCTCCACATCTGCCACCATCAGAAGAACCTCTTCGGTGACCTAAACATCTTAGGCGGTGCAAGGATCTGAAAGGCACTAAACGTCATCAGTCTTAAGCACTCTAAACAGAGTACTTCAGCTCATCATTTCATCAGCTGACACTGCTTCAGTCACTTCAGTTTTTGGGCTACACGAGGCACCCTCTCTGTCTCGTCTGTTGTACTGCATCCAGCTACTAAACAAAGTATAAAATCGGCGATCTGGGCCAAGAACCTACCGTTTAACTGCAATAAGGTTCCCATTTGTGGCTCAGCAACGTGACAACGGTGGAAGTTCAAGAGATCGAAGAGCACTTCTACAGAGTTACGGTATATTTCAATTGTTTCTTTCAATATTTGGATGTGGAGTGAACGGTGGTAAAGTGGATTTCACAGGGTGGGGCACGTTCCAAGTCTTGGCAAGAACACGCAAAACTCCAATTGGTCCAGGAGTTCTCTTTTATACTGCTGGTCAAAGGGACGTGGGCGCTCACCAGAAGGAGGTCCATGATGTTCCAGGCGCAGCCGTTCATGGTAAAGAAGCGCTTCCCATGAGCAGAAATCCGCAACAGGAGCTCTAGGGTGAAAAAGAGGCAAAACCTGAGAGGCGCCAAATGAACTCACCAGATCCAATGCCGATTCAATGCCCATGTTCCAAGGATTTTCAAGGTCTTCAATACCCAGATTGAAGCACAGTGCTCGAACTCTGGCTAGACACAATTGCAAGTCCAGACCTGATTCTACATGCATCCTGGCACATCCATACTTTGGCCTTGCAAGAGTACAAGTCCACTCGATCACTTAGACTACCAACTGTGCACTGAAACCAGCCGGCCTCTGTCCAAGCTTTTAAGATTGGAGTTCGGTGTTATGTAGAAGAACAATTCTTGCACAGGCCCCGCAAGCCCACAGGACCAAAAGCCTTTTGCTGATTCCAAGAAGCCCTATATCAAAACATCGCAAGGTCCACGGCACTGAAGCCAGGTTATTTGTGGCCATGTAGTCCGTTTGAACACCAATGACCACTGCATTCGCACAAAGCACTATCATGGAGATGGTTTCAAACCATACATTTTGTACCTGGGCGTGCCACGCACAAACAGTTTCAAAGCTTTCAGACTATCCGTAGTTGATGCTTTGGACTGCCAAAGTTCCAATTCACAAAACCAGAAGAGTATACTTTGGACCACCCACGTACAAGGAGATCTTCCATCAGTCAAACAGGAGTCAAAGTTCATGATGTAAGCCATCTTCCGAAATAGAAACTAAAACACTCAGAATGTTCGAACCTTTTGACAAAACGACCTGGAAGAAAGCTGTTTTTAGAAAATTCTTCTGAGAATGCCGTTTTTGTTTCGACTTGACTAGACTCGTCTCCTCTACTCGTCTTATCTCGGGCGCACCATCCGCAAGAGCCTCTGCCGCAGCCAGAAGTAGCGATCTAAGTCCACCGAGGTCATCGAGCCGGCACGGGTGAGGCCAAAGGCCTTGGGAAACCGAGGCATCTGGTAGTAACAAGTGCCTTACTAGTAGTAACAAGAAGCTAGTAGCAACAAGTGCATCGCTAGTAGTAACAGGTGCCTTACTAGTAGTAACAAGAAGCTAGTAGCAACAAGTGCATCGCTAGTAGTAACAGGTGCCTTACTAGTAGTAACAAGAAGCTAGTAGTAACAAGTGCATCGCTAGTAGTAACAAGTGCCTTACTAGTAGTAACAAGAAGCTAGTGATGTCTCTGCGGATCCGGACAGTGCCAGTCTCGAAATCAGAACCAGAGAAAAGAGACAAAGAGAAAAGAGATTGGTCATCCAAGTGGGCTCAAGGACTGAATCTCCGGAATAGCGTAATTACTTGGGCTTCTGTGTTGGTAGCCGTTCCTCCGAACTGCCAATAATTTCTTCTGTCACAGAATCACTTTAATCGTTTGACCTCTTGGGTATCATGCCTTCTCCGTCATTGTGCCGTGCCCTTTTCGGCTTGTTCTTGCCGAGATAGCTGGGCTGTACACATCATTGCTACCATACCTGGGCCAGGGAAACAAGAGAAGTGGGCTTCCCGGTTTGAGATACACAGCAACCAGTACCATAAACCGTTTGTCAAATGCATCCAGCAAATATTTGAGGATGTCAAACTGTCAATTCTACGCTTGGAAACACCCCTATATAAATGTACAAAGCAGCTGTGGTGGACAGCACTTTGTTGCAACAGCCATCCCCCTTCACAGTTCCTGACTTTTTCGACGGGATGCTTGGATCAACCAAACCACCAAATTGACTCTCGCAAATCATGTATAATCAGAATCAAACACGCTCTCTTCACACTGCACATGCAAACACCTCAACTTCATGTTTGATGCCAAAAAAAGGTGCGGAAAATGTCATGAAGCACCACACACCATCGCACCGGTTGATTTAATGGCAAGACCAGGTCACTGCGTGGTGCTGCTCCCCAGCTCATGCCCCGTTTCGGCGAGAGTGGGAGCAGGCTCGATTGGTGGCGCCTTGGGGAGGCTGCAACTCCCGACCGTCATTCAGTTGGCATCCTACTAGGAACAAGGACGCTACTAGGCGCTCCTGGCCATACTACTAGGAGCAAGGACGCTACTAGGAACAAATAGTTGTCCCAAGTCTCCTTCTTGTGGGTTGTCTTGCTCACTATTCATGGAGCATGTTGGTGATCGGTGGTCAATCTGAGGTGATAAACTTTGATTGCAAGCACTTAGGATGACCACAGTATAGGGTCTAAAAACGATATGAAAAAAGAAGGTAAGGGTCCTTTGAAGGAGACCTTGCTAATTCTTCTTTTTACCAATCTCTTCATTTGGACCCTTTTAAGGCCCATGTCTGTTCACTCAGCTCTCTTGGATGATGCCGAGCAACCACTGGCTCGCTGGAGGTGCTGGAGGTCTCCGACCGCATCGACTTCAACTTCTCCATCGGCTGCGCAAGGAGGTCAGAGGGACCGGGAGGAGCGATGGGGAGCTCTAGTAGCTTCTTGTTACTACTAGTAAGGCACTTGTTACTACTAGCTTCTT